ATTGACCAAATGGGATTTTTCTACCAAATCCATAAATAACTTTTAAAAAAATTTAATGATAAATATACTTAACAAAACAACTACCATTTCAACAGTCTTCATATCACAAATGACTTTTGAAGTTTCTTTGATTTTTAAGCCTATAACAGAATAAATATGTAGATTTAGAAGGGTTTACCAGGAAAATTTTAATGATTGCTCAGCTGATCATTAAGCCAGACCTGGATGAGAGAGAAGCCTGGTCATTCTCCGATTTATGGGTGGTTTCACATTTTTTTTTTAAATACTTAATTAACACAATATTGAGCTCCTCTCAGTGCTTCTCATTAGCAGAACCTTAAAGCTCTTTGTGAAAAGGAAAACTAGCTTCAGGACAGGAGGTATTGCAGGACCTAAGGCATGTGCTACAGTGACCAAGTTTAACATTACACTAAGGACTTGAACGCACAAAGCCTAATGTTTGTGCTCCATCATTAAGAAATTCCTGACAACCGTTCTTGAATATCTCCTGATATTTGGCTTTTAGGAAAAGCATTTTGGAGTGAATTGTGCCTGTTCCTTATTGTCCTCCTAGTGTACAAAAGTCTCAAGATAATTCTGCTCTCTATTTAATAAATAAAGGAGCTTTGGTGGGGTAGTGGTTAAGGCATTTGGCTGTAACCAGAAAGTCAGTGGTTTGAACCTACCTGCTGCGCCACAGAAGAAAGATGAGGTAGGTTTGAACCACTGACCACTTGGTTAGCAGTCAAGTATTTTAATCACTATGTTACCAGAGCTCCTTGGGCAGACATAAAGCCTAATATAAAAAGTATCAGTTTTGGAGTTAGAGAGTCTCTCACCTCTGCTACTTACCAGTTGTGTGTGTTGAGCAATGCCCTTAATTTTTTGTTTGAGGTTTCCTCATCAGTAAAATGGGGCTTATCATGCTTTCCTTCCTAGGGTGCTGTGGCAGTGATATGAAGCAATGCATGTCAAATTCTTAGGACAGTGCCTGGCACATGAAAAGTGCTCAATAAAAGTTCCTGTCATTGTTGGCCCTGTGATAACATTACACTGAATCTGTTCACACAGTTATTTTGCTAGAATGGCCAGAGGGAAATTCTTACCACTGCTATCATTTCTTAAATAGAGCCATATATTGTAGTTTCTGACAATCATCACACTTAGTAGGAAAGAGAGCAGGGAGTTATAAGTCTAATAGCCTGTTGTCCCTCATATAGGCTCAAACCAAAAACCGAACTTACTGCCATTGAGTTGGATCTGACTCATAGTGACCCCTCCTTGCATTTCCGAGGCACTATCTCTACAGAAGTAGATTGCCCAGTCTTCCTTCCAAGGAGTGGCTGGTGGGTTTGAACTGCCAGCCTTCTGGTTAGCAGTCAAATGCCTTAGGCACTATGCCACCAGCGCTCCCTGATATAGGCTAGATGCATATTAATAGGGGAAAGAGTAAAGAAACATCCAGAGTGGAAGGCCACCTGGCTAGTGGGGTAGCAAGAAGGTTGGGAATGAGGGAGGAAAAAGAGGGAAGAGAGGCTGAAAGGTTAGATTTTTTCCCTTTATAGTTCTGCTCAAGTTGTTTCTCATTCAGCTCAACTCTGCTGCCACAGGACAGTATATGGACTCTGGTCTCACTGAGAGGTGAAAATAACATGGTGAAAGTAGGTTATACTAACAAGCAATGAAAATGTAAGGGGTTATTATTGGTATTATTTAAAATATGCACTATAGATACTCAACCATGTTTACCAATCATTTTCACCAGGGAAAATTAGCACCAGGATCAGTCCAGGTGTAGTCAAAACTCAAATAAAGGCTTCTGAGAAAATGCTGCCATTAGCTCTCTTGGAGTTGTGCTTTGACCAGTCACACTTGCCTGGCTTTAGGAATGGGAGTCCTGGGGACATGAAACACAGGCAGAGAAGGTTCTTCCCCTCCACAGTGAGTTATGTGTAATATGCTCTGAGTTAAGGCATTCATTTCTCGCAGGACATCTCAGTGACCTTGGGTTAGTCTGCATTCCAGGATACCAAGGGCAGTTTAAAGAGACACCTTATGTCCCTCGAAGAGGTGTTATGAGAACACAGTGAAATGATAGAAGGTGCCTGCATGCCAAGGCAGGCCAGAGGAGCCTCCCTTTCTCCAGCTCTGCAAGAACAGGCTCCCTGAGAGTGGAGGGAGACCATAACACCCAAAGACATCCCTCACCAAATGGTGCCTTCAGAGTTGGGTAGCCTGTGGTTCAAACCCCAGATCTGTCACTTACCAACCTTAGAAAGACAGAGAATTAAGGCCTGGAAAGTTAACCAATTTGCTGAAGGTCATTTACTGTACATGTTGGAGAGTTAGGACTAGATAATGCAGGTTTATTGACTCTAAGTGCTCTGTTATTTTCACTTCACTTTCCTACCTTCATTACTTGGGTCAGGAGGGTTATTTATTAATAGACTTCAGGGGCAGAGATTATCTGAACTTCCTTATTGGGAGGATAAGGAAAGCAATGGTAGGTACTGTGAGAAATTACCGAGCGTCCCCATCCTATGTGCAGCTAGAGTCTCAGGTGATTGACCTGAAAGCCATAATGTAAAACTAGACTCACTGAGCTCACCTTCTTTTCATACTAGCATTCCCATTAATTGTGTGCATGTGTGTGTGTGTGTCTTACGGCTTCAATATGAAGCTAGCCATTCAATTTGGACTATTCATAAATTTTCAGTCTTTGGACCATTCTCAGGAAATCAAAGAAGTAACTATTAGCAAACTCCCTAGGTGGCCATGATTCAGAGACACAGAAAACTGAACAAACAAAACAAAAACAAAAAAACTGAAGAATTAACTTGTATACTGTCAGTGGTAACGTGGGGGGGGGGGGGGCCCTGAGCCTGAACAGAAAGTAATAACACATTCCAGTTGAATGTAACTAAGCAGAAATTCATTGTTCTTTTAACCCAAACCAGGAACTGAAGGTGCACAAAGGATGGTGCTGTTTCTACTGTACCTTGGTAGGCATGGGCTTCTTAAAGGTGATTTCAGCTTGTATCCAAATACCCCTTGGGGATTCCAGCACAGACCAGATCTTCTCTTGAACTACATGGTTCTCTTCAAAGATGTAAACTGCCAGGGTGTCACTCATTTTTAAAAACCCATAGATGGCATAATAAAAGCGCAGACAATACTGCAAGTTTCCTGGCAAGGAAGGGCCATAGAGCCTTCCAATGTAGCCAGGCTGAGATGTAAACTTTGTGTTGGCCAGCAAATAAGACCCTGCAAACAGAACAAAGCATTCAGTGCATCAGCAATGAAAAATTCAAATACTATACTTTAGCCCAGATTATCAAGTGGAAAAATTTGGTTATTGTAGTTTAATTTGCTGGTAGAAACTATTTTCCTAGGCTTTGAAGGGTAGAAAGCAATGTTTGTGGCTTATGATAGAAAATATCTATGTGATTCTATTGCAAAAAAAACTCCTTCAATCCTGTTGTTGTTATGTGCCATTGAGTCTGACCCGACTCATAGCGACTCCTCCTTGGGCTTCCAAGGCAGTATCACTATGGAAGTAGATTGCCCCATCTTCCTTCTGAGGAGTGGCTGGTGGGTTTGAACCACCGGCCTTCTGGTTAGCAGTCAAGTGCCTTAAGCACAATGCTACCAGAACTCCCCCATCAATCCTAAGTAAACATAATAACATAATAAACCAGTATCAGTTTCGAATTCATATGCCCACATTTCAGTCATCAATTAACATTTAAACTTTTATAAGAAGGTTATACCAGCAATATTTGAAATGATTAAAAATGTGAAACAATCCAAAGGCCTATCTATATCAGAATGCATAAATAATTTATAGTGTAGTCAGAGAATAGGATGCCATGAAGACCCTCAACAAGATGGATTGACACAATAGCTGCAACAATGGATTCAAATTAGCAATGATTGTAAGGAAGGTGCTGGGCTGGGGAGTGTAATGTTCTGTTGTGCATAATATTTGAGTTGGCACCAGCTCGATGGAATCTAACAACAGCACGTAGTAAAGAAAACACATGAATTACTGCTACACAGAATGACAGGGATATATATTATAATATTAAGCCAAAGAATCCAGAACCAGAAATACATTGAGTATTATTTCATTTATGTGAAATTCCAAAACAGTCAAAGCTAAATTATGGGATTGTGGTTAACTTTGGGAAAGAAAGAGAGAAAGAGAGCAATGATTTGGAGATAGCATGAAGGAGGATTCCAGGATGCTGGTAATATTTTAACTCTAGAAATATAGGTTGGTTAAAGCACTGTGTCCACTGTATTGCTTATTCTTCAAGCTGTACACTTAGGAGTTCTGTACTTTTATGTAAGTATAAATCAATAAAACATGTATTAATGAAAAATAAATTTTTAATCTTTGAGCAACAATAAAGAAAAGATTTATACTTTTCATAAAACAAAAAGAGCATAGGAGCACCAGTTGCTTGAGCCAACTGGCTGGCTTCGGTTGAGTGCTTAGTACCTACTCATGGCGAACGTAAGGGCTGGAGGAATTACAATCTGGCCTGGCAATCCTTGTGTCTGGGTAGCGCCCACTACTCTCTCCAGGTCACATGTTAAACCTGCCTTGATTGCAGGTTCTTAATCAGATGGGCCCTCCCAGGTGCTGACCATCTGTGTTCTTGCCTTATTTTTTCTAAATAAAGAAAAATAAGACCAAGAACCGCCCACTCATCTGCCCCTACCACTCTCATTTAAAATAGGTCCATGTATCCCAGAAAGCCTGGGCAGAAAAGAAAAGAAATAATACTCTACTTGTTTCTTTCCATTTTCTGCATCTCTCCACTCAATTTTCTTTTGGGCACCTCAGTCTTTGCTATAAAGTTTAGTTTTGCCTGATTATTTAAGTGATCTTACAAAAGGCTCTTTGATTATTTTACAGGGGTGGTCATACAACAGGCAGAACAAACATTTTAAAACTTAAATTTATGGATAGGAAGACTGAACATTGTGAAAATGTCAGTTCTACCCAAAGCAATCTATACATTCAATGCAATCCCAATCCAGATCCCATCAACATTCTTTA